CACCTGCTGGCCCCCACCCATCAAATTATTATTTTTTTGGGGGGGGGATTGTTTTTGACATAGGTCGTGTGCACTCGCTGCAGAGAGAGAGAGAGGGAGAGAGAAAGAGAGAGAAGCAGAGACAATGAGAGGGAAAGGAGAGTGAGAAATCACCCTCCAGGGGGGACGGCCATGACCCAATCCCTTCTCCATTCTCCTCCTGGGCTCTTGGGCATGCACACACATGCATCGGGCATGAGTTTCAAGCCACTGGGTATCACCCTCCAGGGGGGACGGCCATGACCCAATCCCTTCTCCATTCTCCTCCTGGGATCTTGGGCATGCACACACATGCATCGGGCATGAGTTTCAAGCCACTGGGTCTGGGACTCGAATCGTGCTTGGCCACGTGGGAGTTGAGAGACGTATCTACAATGCCATCTGCTGGCCTCTATTTTAAAGATGTTTTTTGAGGACTGGCAGGTGGCATGGTGGTTAAAGGCACTGGATTCACACATGGCCGACTGGGGTTCAAGTTTATATATATATATATGTGTGTGTGTGTGTGTGTGTATACGCTGTTATTTGAAAATGTTTTGTTCTCAGTGAGTCTAATATTTGCAAGGGGTAAAATATTGGATTTAGTGCATATTGTATATGTATTTGGAGTACATTTTGTGGAAACCTTGGAGCTCCAGATTGAGTTCGTCCTAATGGTGAAACATGTCAGCCATATAATCTAAATCATCAGTAAAGCAGTCTGTCAGCAAACATTAGACTTTGATCTTCAATTCTAATATTTGTATACATATTGTTCCATGATAGCCAGTGAACTTATATTTGATTTATAATAGAGATGATAGCTATACAGAGGTAGATAGATAGCTATGAAAGGAAGGAAGGAAGGAAGGAAGGAAGGAAGGAAGGAAGGAAGGAAGGAAAGTTACAGATTTTTGCCATGAGTTTGTCAACTGGATGAATGTGTACATTGTCCCTTCAGCAGCTGCACATGCAGGTCAGGCTCTTCACACACAGGATGCACTTACTGATGGGTAGCAGCAGCTTCTCAAGATGACTTAAAATATATTCAAAATGTTGATTGTTTGAGTCCCCTAAGGCACTTAGGGGACGTGCAATATTTACTAATAACTAAATTTCACTCTGGTTTGTTTTTTTTTAATTTATCTTCATTTTTATTTTTTATTGAAGTCTGAAAACAGCTACTGTTTATTTACTGACCAGATTACAAAAACAATCATGGTGGATACCTTAGTTCTCTAATAAGTCTGTTGATCTGGTCTTCCCTGTTCCCTGTTTACCTTCTACAAAATGAGTGGTCTTTTTCTTCACTCCACCTCGTGGAGAGGATAATTCGAAGGGCCACAGGAAGTTATTTGCTTCTTTGAAGCGTTTTCCAACAGTATAGATTTCATGAATCAGATCCTCCATGCAGATTATGCCAAATTTACCAAGAGATCGCGCAATCAGAGTTATCTGTCAAAGCAATTCTCTTCCTACTGACTTTGCCATAACCACGTTTGTAGATCAGTTCATTTACTGACTTCAGGTTTGGGTACCCCCATGCAATCTATGGTTCCACAATTCTCAGCATGTTAATTGAGGCCTTGTCGAGTTTAACAAAGGTGCCATTGAAGATCTGGCGAAGGCGAAGAAGCTGCAACACCTTTCGAACCTTTGGGCTCACTCCATTGATCCCTCTGATGCTGATGACAAATGCCAATTTGGGTTCTGCAGGTACATAGAAGTTGCCAGTTTTTCTTGCCATCCTGGCCATGCGAATCTCAGTTCTGTACGTCTGTCTCTATGCCTTATGATTATTGCTTAGCTTTTTCATAGATAAGCTTCCTCCTTGCCTTTCGAAGCATCTTTTGAGCAAACTTCTTTCTCAGGCGCTTGATCTTCAGCTCTGCAAAAGTCCTTCGCTTTTTCTTAAGGGTTTCTGGCACCGAAGGAACCTTTTTCTTGGTGGCTTCCACCACAGCAGGAACCTTCTTTTTCTTCTCTTGACTGCCCTCCATGGTTCCAGCCGGAAAAGAGGAGACTCTTTGTTTAATATATCCCTGTTCCATGTTCTCTGCAGTAAATTGTTCAAAAGTTCCTGAGACTGTATAGAACAAGCCTGAGCTGCTTTGTGCTTCACTCTGTCCTCTCTCTCTCTCTCTCTCTTTTTTTTTTTTTTTTTTTTTTTTTTTTTTTTTTTTTTTTTTTTTGCTTTGCTATAGGGCACATACACTTGCCAGAGAGAGACAGAGGGAAAGTGAGAAACCACCCTCCCCCACCCCCCAGGGGGATGATCATGCCACAATCCCTTCTCCCTCATTCTCCTCTCGGGGTTTTGGGCACTCATGCACACACACCCAATGTCTTTTTCAAGCCTCCTGGGTCCAGGACTTGAACCACAGTCGGCCATGTGAGATCCTGCTGCCTTAACAACCATGCCACTGGCTGGCCCCTTGTGTTTCTCTCTGGTTCTAGGTTTGCCATGTCATTATCTCACACCTTTCTCAGGGAGAAGAGTAATGGCAGGATTGAGTGGGGTACCTATGAGAGTGTGTGTGTGTGTGTGTGTGTGTGTATGTGTGTGTGTGTTGGTGGGGGTAGGGATGGGAACTACAGATAATTGCATAAAATGTTTGTTTACCAGCCAGTCAGTGGCATGGTGATAAAGGCAGCTGAGTCTCACATGGCCAACTACAAGATTAGAGTCCTAGACCCAGCAGCTTGAAAAACATGTGGGGTGTGTGTGTGTGTGTGCATGCATGCGTGCCCAAAATCCCGAAACAAGAAATGGAGGAGAGATTGTGGTACACTCATCTCCTGGGGGTGTATGTGTGGGGGAGTGCTTTTTCTGGTGAGCCCATGCACCCTCTAGCACATTTTTTAATTGTTCATTTATGAAGACAACTACCTCTGAAATGATGAGGGCATCTTTGCTTCTCCATTAAGGCTTCCTGGGGTGTCTGAATGCCAACACCAGTGAGACGACAACGGCACGCTCTCTAGGCAGAGTTACAAAGTAGGGTTCGCTTTAGAGCCTTCCCAGTTTTTTTAAAAAGAGTTATTTAATTTTATTTACCATTATCACTTTTAAATTTTGCTACAGGGTATGTGCACTCACAAGAGAGAGAGAGAGAGAGAGAGAGAGAGAGAGAGAGAAATTCAGAAAGCAAGACATCAGGTCCAGGACACAAACTATGGTCAGGCATGTGGGAGTCCATCGCCTCAACCACGACGCCACCTGCTGCCCTCTCCCCCACACTTATTTTGAAACCCAAAGAATATTGCACCCCTCCAAGGGACCAGCAGTTAGCGTAATGGCTATGTTGCTGAACTCCCATGAAGTCAACCGCGGTTCGAGTCCCAGCCCCGGTGGCTTGAACTCATGCTGGGGGAGTGTGCACGCGTGCCCAAGAGCCCAAGAGGAGAATGGAGAAGGGACTGTGGTGTGGCCATCCCCCCCTGGGGGTAATTTATTGCTTTCTGTCTCTCTGGTGAGTGCCCATCACAAAACCCCCTAAAAAAAAAAAAAAAAAAAAAAAAAAGGAAAAAGAATATTGCATCACTCTAAACAACTTCACTTACACTTTTATGTATAGCATGGTTTTCCTTCTTTCTTTATTTTGTTTGTGGAGAGATTTTTGCTATAGGGCGTGTGCACTTGCCAGAAAGCAGAGAGAGACAGAGAGACAGAAAGCGAGAAATCACCCCCCGGGGGGATGGCCATGCCACAATCCCTTCTCCTTCATTCTCCTCTTGGGATCTTGGGCACACACGCACATGTGCCCGGCGTGAGTTTAAGTCACCGGTCTGGGACTCGAACCGTGGTCGACGACATGAGAGTCCAGTGACACAGCCATTACACCAACTGTTGGTCCTTACAGCATGATTTTCTATCATGGTATTAAATATGATGTTTCTCTCTCATTCTCAAACTAGAAACAATTTGTTCAGACTATGCCCATTCTTTGTTTGATGAGGCCAACCCAGTACTGTGCTAAGGAAAAACTAGCCAAACGTTTGTGTTCAATGGAAAAGAAAAAGGAAAAAAAAAATTAGGGGCCAGCAGGTAGCATGGTGGTTAAGACACTGGACTCCCACATTGCCAACTGCATGGTTTTTTTTTGTTTGTTTTGTTTTTGTTGTTGTTTTGAGAGATTTTTGCTATAGAGTGAATGCTCTCACTGGAGGGACAGAGAGACAGAAAGTGAGAAATCACCCATCAGGGGGGATGGCCAGGGGGATGGCCCTTCTCCTCTTGGGATTTTGGGCATGTATGCCCATGTGCCCGGTGTGAGTTTCAAGCTGCCGTGTCCGGCACTCAAACCGCAGTTGGCCACGTGAGAGTCCAAAGCCTTATGCCACTTATGCCACCTGCTGGCCGCACCAACTGCCCTTTTAGTTCTGGCCCCGATGGCTTGAAAATCATACCAGGTGCATGTATGTGTGTGCCCCAAATCCCAAGGGGATGGAGGAGAAAGGATTGAGGTGTGGCCATTCCCCCCCCCCCCAGGGTAGGGGGTGATTTCTCCCTTTCCCCTTCTCTGTCTCTCTCCAGTGAGTGTGCATGCTCCATGGCAAAAAACTAGGGGAAAAAAAGAAAAAAAGAGTTATCCTCAGCGTTGAAGTGTGAACATGTGATCTTTGTGCCTATGTGCGGTATTCAGTGAATGACAAGACTTAATTTTCCCTGTCTTCCATTTCCTAAATTGCACTACTAGATTATCTGAATCCAGAACCTCCCCTCCAGCCTGAGGATGAAAGGAAGAAAATCTGGAGGTGCGGTAGCTGAAAAGAAACTCAGACACAGAATAGCAGTTCAGTTTTATTTTCTGCAGTAACAAACATTTAAGCATTCACCCCTGCAGCAACAGGGAAACAAAACAAGTAGGCCAAGAGATAGCAAGGGCCAGTACAGGCAAAAAAAATAAAAAATAAAAAAATAAAAATTAGACTTTGAAATTAAGTGGCAATTACTCTGAATGTTAATTCCCTATCCCTGCTTAGTAGGGGAAACAAGGTCAGGACTCAGGCCCCTTTCCCCTTCCTTGTTTTAGTGAAGCTGGGAGCCCAAGGCGCTGAATGTTCCGTACCACTAGGGAAAGTCGGTCGAGGAAGGAGTTGATGGAAATTCGGAAGAGAACAGGGTCTTCAGCAGTCCATCTACTAAAAGTGAGGGAAAAGGAAAAACCAGGTTAAAGGTGAGAATGCTCCTGTAGGTCCAGGGCATCAGGCTTCTTGCTTATACCTAACCCGTCAGTGTCTCCATTACAGTGTCCATAAAACAGCAGTTGGTTCCAAGCCCATGCCACCTCCCCCCACTGCAGATTCTTCTATAACTAACATAGTCAGGGTGCTGCCGTTCACTGTGAACTCCTTCTGAACCACCCCTGGTTGGCGCTGGGTATCTGGTGCTAGAGACCTGTGGGCCATGTCTGCCTCCAGAGGGGATTGGAAAGGCACAATGAGGGTGCTGGGAGGCGGGGAGACATGGTTAAGGCATAATCTGCTACTGAGTTTGCTTGGGCGGCTGGCCTCCTTACACCTCAGAGGCCAGTCTTCATCCCCGGCCTGGGAAACCTCCTTACCCTCAGTTCAGATCATCCTGAGCTGTCTCCCCATCCCTTCAGGCCCTCTTCCCCACCCTCCAGCCCACTCACACTTAGCCAACTCCCTCTCCTGTGAGGATGTCCACTGCCGCTGTCCCTGGTTGTCCCTGCACACCCCTCTCTGCATTTCCCAGGCTGCTGCCAACCTCCAACCTCCAACCACCCAGCCCACATAAACCATGTTGGGCTCATCCTACCCTCTCCCCTGCAATGTCCCTGCCCTGGGGGAATCCTTGGAAAGGATACAACTCCAGCAGTCGACTTCTAGATCCTCTAGCCATAGGCCCTGCATCTCCTCTGGATCCTGGGGCATGTGCTGCCTGCTCGCACTGGGGAGTAGCGACAGCTACTTCACCCACTGCTCCTTCCCTGGCTGGGCCACTTTGACTTTCAGGGCCACCATGGGCACCCTGCCCGTCACAACCACTCCGGCCCTCAAGACCTCTGGGGTCACTTAGGTGACCTGGGCCGCTGAGGCTACCCTTGCCTTCAGATGACCCTGCGCTACCAGAGTCACCAGGGTTTCTGCTGCCACCCTGGGCTTCTGCGCGGTCTCCCGTGCCGCCTGCCCCTGCGTCGTCCTGTGGGGCCTGCATGGCTGCTCCGCCGTCGCCCTCAGAGCCTGCCCCAAACACACGACCGCACACCCTGGGTGCCGCCTGAGGGGATGAGGCTCCCACAGGAAGCCCAGCCTCTTCTCCCACAATGCAGTTCGGGATGCCCGCTGCGCTTGTGCAAACAGCCCCCCTCCCCGCCCCGGCCGGTTGGTTCCCGCCAAGCTAGTCCCGCAGCGAGACCTACAGACCCCATTGGCCAGGGAGAGACTGGGCTATAGGAGGCTCCACCCCTCAGCGTGCAGCGCACTCCGGGCTCCCAGGGCGCCTGTGCCAACCTGGGCGGCAGAGGTTTGGTTGCAAGCTGAGGACCGGAGGTGGGAGTGGGGAGTGGACGGAATCTAGATGCAGGACAGTAGTAAGATCCAGCAGTGTATGGCAGGGGGAATGGGATCAGGAGAACGCCAACCTGACTTAGCCTGAAGGGGCACTTGGCCACCATGGCTTAGGTAGGACATGGGGCAGTGTGTGCACAGAGGGAAAGAAATTCACCCATGTCCTTGTGGTCCTTCTGTGGGTCCAAGTTGCCCCATCTGTAAGTGGCCCGGGTGAAGGTGGCAAGCTGGGACAAATTGGACCAGACCAAAATGTCTCTGCCAGTCTCCAAGTTTTCAGACCCCAAGAATAACAAGCATTTCTAAAACCCAGTGAAGGAGCTTCTGTCCCCCAGGAAGCCAGCTCCCTTGGCCAACCCAGAAACTCGATTTCCTTGAGGGTGGGCTCCAAAAACTCCCAAGTGCCTGTGGAGACACCACCAAGAGGTGAATGGCAGCCCAGCCTTCCACTCCCAGGAAGGCCTTGACAGTATCTCCCAAACCCTGAGGCCAGGCATTAAGGGCTACTGTCTCTTCCCCCCCGCCCCACGGCCCCTCCCAAACACTGCCTCTTCCCCCCACAGCCCTTCTGTTTCCAGGTGAGGCCATGCAAGCGAAAAGACCTGCATATTTCAAAGGAGCAGAGAGAGCAGAGAATGAGGTAGATGAGTCCAGCTGGTTGGTTTAATTGACACAAAAATGAAAAGTTATTTGTAGATGATAATGTATATGGTAATATTTTTGTCTTGACTGATATGCACCATATTTGTGCTGGAAAAAGCAATGTTGTACACTGTAAGGATAAATACTGATTAAATGTTTATAAAAAATTAATTAATTTTTAAAAAGTTTATTAAAGGGTCCAGCAGGTGGCACAGAGGTTAAGGCCGCTAAATCCCACATAACTTGACTGCAGGGTTTCAGTTCCCAGCTGGAGGCTTGAAAAACACACCGGGCGCATGTGTGTGCCCAAAATCCTGAGAGGAGATTGAAGGAGAAGGGATTGTGGTGTCACCATCCATGGGGCATAGAGGGTGGGGGATGGGGATGTCTCACTTTCTCTCGTCTCTCTCCAGCAAGCACACACACACACACACCCTGTAACAAAACTTTAAAAAAGAAAATAAAGGAGTTTATTAAAGGAACTTATGACAGAACCAAGGTCCTGGTTGGCCACCAGGCAAATAGGTTTCCACATCCTTTAGCCTCCAAAGCATATGCTTATATAGTTCATGCAGGAGGGGCTTATAGAGGGGAATAGGTGCAGGAATGGATCTGAGGAAAGTGTAGCAGGAATGCATCTGAGGAAAGTGTAGAGCAGTTTGGTGTGTCAGTACTATACCTTAATTGTGATCGGGGTGCACTGCTCCATAGATAAGGGCAACAGGTATGTTTGCTGCAACAGCTTAGGCTACATGCCAGCCTTAGGAAAGGAGCCAGGAACTTGGGATCAAATGTCAGTCAAGATGGTGGATTAACTTCTAGATGGAATCACTTTGGTTCTGCCACACCCTCTAACCCTGCCCCAGAATGACATTTTTAAAAATCAGAGGAAGCATATGAGCTCAAAGAAGAGGAGTCTCCCAAACTTCGTAGGTTATTACTGAGTTATTAAGAGTTATTACTCCTACCACCGCCCCTGAAATCCTTACTGCAGCTTCTTTCATCTTCTCTCCCAGCCGTCAACAATATTCATAAGGATATGAGTAGTCCTAGTTCTTTTTTGTTTTGCTTTTGAGAGGTTTTTGCTATAGGGTGCGTGCGCTCGCCAGACAGACAGAGAGAGACAGAGAGACGGAAAGCGAGAAACCACCCCCCAGGGGGGATGGCCACGCTGCAATCCCTTCTCCTCCATTCTCCTCTCGGGATCTTGGGCACGCACGCACACGCGCCCGGCGTGAGTTTTAAGCCACCGGGTCCGGGACACGAACCGCGGTCGGCTACATGGGAGTTCAGCGACATAGCCATTATGCCAACTGCTGGTCCCAGTAGTCCTAGTTCTTCACAGTCCTGCTCTCATCCACAGGGCAGAAGAGTCTGATAAATGAATCCAGAATAATTTAATGATGAGTGCTACTCACTCCCCCCATCTATGTTTCTGTGAATACGTTTTAACAGGAAGGCAACCATTTAATTGACCAATCACGGGGGGGAGGGGGGGGAATCTTCGCTGACTGACAAGCTATATTTAGCTGTTGTGAGAGGTATGACAGAAGGAGGAACCAGGGTCTCATGGGTACTACCAGGACAGAGGCAGTAAACAGATTTGGGGATAAAAATTCGGTAAGGTGATCCAAATCCAAATGCTCCAATCCAGCTCCTAGAATCAAAGGAGCTATAGAGATCCAGCCTTGTCAGAACGGTTATCATTCTGCATTCTCTCATTGTGCTCTTGGTGGGTTCCCTCCCCCCATCGTGCTCCCTGCCTGGAGGATACCGCTTCCCCTGCTGGTGGTGTGCACTAATGGTTCTCCCGTGCCAGGCCCAGCCCTCCAAATTCAGGGCCGGGAGGTGGCATGGGTTTTGTCTTGTTTCCTTCCCCTCAGCTATTTCCAGGCCACTCCTCTACCTGCCGTGCTGGTTGCTGCCCCTTCCCTCCCTCCGCCAGGCCACTGGTTCCACCCTGCTCTCTGTCCCAGAAGGCTGTCCTGCAGGGAATGGCATCACTCAGGGGCTCCCTTGCTCTGCCCTCCTCTTGGGCTAAGCCAATGGAAGACACTGGCTGAACATCACAGGGTGGGAGGGCAGAAAGCCAAGGATATTTGTTCGTTTGCACCCTCCCAGCCCCCCTATAGCTCTGGAAGTGGCCAAATTTCCCAATGGCTCTAGCTCTCACCAGGATGCAGTAGCACAAACCCCTATCCTAGCCCTTGCAAGCCTAGGCTTGGTAACAACTCCTCTTGGTGCCTGACCATGCCCTCTCAGCAGTGGGGTGTGTGTGAGACATCTGGCTCTCTGAGTTGGGAAGGGGGACTTGGAAGGTATGCATATGCATGTACTTACAAACATGAGTTTATTATAATTTTGACTCACATAAACAATGTGCAGCACGTGGTAATAAAGTATAAAACATCCTGTATTGTAAATCCCATACACCCAGTAGCTTCTCACAGATTGCTTTAGTGCTAGTTGTCAGACTCTTGCATCTGTAACCAATCTATAGTTACAGGTGATAAACACTGGTGACTCTGACATGAAGGTTGGTTCATATTCTCATTTATGTTAATGAGACAGGCAAAAGTGAGGGCTCTCCCCACGTTCAGCAGTAACATGAATGACCTCCTTGCTGAGCCAGATAATCATTTTGGAGTACCAGAAAGCACTTTTTCAAATTCCTAGGCTTTTCACAATGTAACGGCAACAGACACGGCACACTTTTACGATCAATTTCCACTTAGTTAGTGTGTCCCCCATCATTTTCTTAAGATTGAGCAATCAACAACACAGTAAGTCAAGCTCCAAATTGTAGGACTCACCACTTTTCGAGGTGTAAATACTCCCACCATGGCTGATTTTGAGTAACCAGTGCAACTTCACTGATCGCAGAGTCATGAGGATATGGGAAGCAACACACCGCCGTGTAGTATTTGCAGCACACAGGCACCACAGCCGCAAATAACCCCAAGTATTTACATCACAGTAAAATACTTAGATACTGATCGGTTTTTATATTCCTCACCTACTTATTAATGTCGTTTACTTGAGAGGGCTCAAGGTGGAAAACTAGACACACCCACCATGGCATCTCACTGGGAAGAAAGGCTAATAAATAGATAAATAAATGCCCACACTTCCAGCAGGGGAGCGAGGTGAGGAGGAGGAAGAAGAAGACAGTGAGAGCTTCTGGGGCACTGACTCTCTACTTGGAAAAGTAAAGAGGGAGTCAGTCAATCATCTGAATTCGCTGAGGCTCTGAGCCCCTCCCCACCAAGGGGGAAAAGGCGAGAGAAACTCTCCTCATAAACTCCAAATTCCGTACTCCCACCTTGGACCCCAGTACGCCTCACTTTCAGAAGAGCAACGAAACTGGCATGGGGCTAACACACATCACAGGAAGGTTCACTGATATGCCACTTCAGAGAAAACTTTGAACCTTCCACCCCAACCCACCCTAAAGCCCCAAGAGCTTGGCACCATTTTGAGAGCCGACTGGCAGGTGAAGCTTAGATTATTATCAAAACCAGGCAATCTGGCACCTCCACAGCCCTGCAGAAGTGGAGAGAGCAGCACAGAGGAGAAGAAGCCCCTGTGGTTGGGAGGAATGGGGTAAACACTCCCAATGACAGAAACCTACTGGCTCTCCTCACACCAGAAACCAAGAGCTATGTGCATCGCCGCCACTCCCACCAGAACATGGTGCATGAGCGTGCCATCCTCCTAATAGAGACTGAGGAATCTGGACACTTCCCCCTGACGGAATGGCAGGCCTACATTCTCCCTCCCCTCAGACTCAAGTTGCAGGGAGTGGTTACCTGCCCCTAACCCAACCAACTGAAGCCACCCACAGTGCAGCTTTTCCAGACCTCCCTGAACTGTGAATATGGGCAAAGGAAAGTAGAGGGGCACCTGACAGAGAGGAGGGCACCAGAGATTCCCCACTCCAGGTCAGAGGGGAGAAAACAGGGAACCATCCCAGACCCCCTCTTGATCCTGGAGTGCACAATTCAG